CAATTTTGGTACACACACACAGACATATATATATATATAGAGAGAGATAGGCATATATATATATATATATATATATATATATATATATATATATATATATATATATATATATATATATACACAGAAAGTGAGATAGATAGACAGAATGAAAGAAAAGAAAGAAAGAAAGAAAGAGAGTACGAATAAAGGACAGAAGAAGAAATAAACAAAAACGGAGAGAGATACAACGAAATGTTTCAAATCCGGCACGCTTAATTTGGAGAAATGAGTAAACAAGGATGTCGAGTATATATATATGTATGTATATAGATAGATAGATAGATAGATAGATTATTATGGAACTTTACAAAAATGAGAAAAACGGAAGTCAATTGCTGAAATCTCCTGACGAGTGGGCAGAAGAATTACGGAAATATTAGTCTCCGAAAGTCTGGATGTGCTTAATATAATATCATCACTCAGCTAAGTGGCAAATCTCATTTTTATTAATCACACACACACAGACACACACATACACACACACACATATATATATATATATATATATATATATATATATATATATATATATATATATATATATTAAAGAATGTCAAACACTTAAAATTACATGCGTCATAATTTTTATTTCATGAAAGCTCTAAAACTGCATTTCTAAATCATCAAGACCTAGAAACAAAAAAAAAATTTGTTCGTAAGTCTTGAAGATTGAGAGCTGCTTTTTTAGACCCCACATGAAATTAATACCTATGGGATTTTAAGTGTTTGAAATGTTTTAATTAATATTAATTTTGCTCTGTCTTTGTCATAGAGCTATCCTGGATCTAATCTATATCCTACTGGAAATTCCATCCGGTTTACTATTTGTAAAATATATATATATATATATATATATATATATATATATATATATATATATATATATATATATGACGTGTGAAGGTGTCAGAGAAAGCAAAAGGAAGCATGGAAGTAAGTAGATATGTTGAAGGAAAATTTCTATCGATCTACGAATAAAATTTATGGCGTGAATATTTAAAACTTATTGCGCTGAAGAGTTTGTTGGCATGAACGTGCTTTTCCGCTCTTTCTGATTTCACTCCGTTTTCCTATCGACGTCCTTATGTGAACAGTTTTTGCGTGCCAAGCCGACATCAAGCCGAAGCGGACGTGGCTCCGTGCGTGTCCGAGTGTATTTATGACACCGGACACGCACGTGCGTGCCCTTACGCGCATGTCATTTGGGGCAATGATCAAAGAGAATATGGAGTTACGATTTGGAATCTACACGAAACCGTTTTTGAAAGTGTCAAAGGAGTCTCCGTGGAAAGCGTCATTATAAACGAATGGTTATTGGAGTGCAAATGGGAAAACGTCGACTTTGGCATGGAGCGAAATGTGCAGGAATACGGGTTGAATGCCGGAATCGAATGGACGACATTACACGAGGACCAATAGACTGATGGCATTCGTGAATAGGGAGCCAGATGGCGATAGGTGCTTGCAGAGAACAAGTGATGAATGAGACAATCTGTAATCCTAGTGAAGTGATATATTAAATGAAGAAAGCGTAAGTAAGCGACTGCAAAGAGAGAGAGAGAGAAAAAAAGAAAGATAAACTGATAACAAGAGAGTGGGATAAAGAATGAAAATATATAATTTTAAACGTTATCACCAACATGGCGGCAGTAAAGTCACTAAGACACAAGGAGTATTCTGGATGTAGAAGAATTAGGAACAGAAACATTAATTATGAGCGGGAAGGGGAGAGTGTAATCAAGAAAACAGTAGATAGAGATTGGTATTTCATTTATTTTTTTACAGCTTAAAGTTAGTTGGAAATCATGGAGCCGGATCGGATTTCCACAAACGAGAATTTCAAGAAGAAACTATTAACATAGAATTTACGGCTACATCTAGCAAAGTCAACTATGAAATCCCGATACCATTCTAGTATTGCGATTAAATTAATAGAGTCTAGGTATCATAATGAAGAGCGATATTTATTCTGATATGTACAGAAATGTGGCACAAGGCGAAATTGGGGAACAGGAAAAGGACGGTCGTGTTCTGTTTTAAAGCCACAAACACTGACCAAAACATGTAACAATATTCCTAACACCAAAACAACGCGTTCTTAAGTTTCTTACCACATCAACCATAATACCTCATTGTCTCCATGAAATTCCTAATTAAAACCCCATATGTAAAATTCATTGTCTGTAGTGGGAGGGGAACAAAGCAACAATTTAAAAACTAAACCCAACAGTGAAGAGTTTATCGGAACTATTACCAT